TGCTTCCCAAACCCAGATTTAAGTGCAACATCCTCTGTTGTCACCTGGACCTATACTGGGACTGCTGTGATGCAGCAAAGCCTCCACAGGAGGTGGTTCCCCTTGGCCAGGGTGGCTCAGTCAGAGCTCACGTAACTGCCCACAGACACTGTGTCCTCCCTTCTTAGAGGGCGGGTAACTGCAGTCCTAAGTCCCTGCTTAAGCAGGCCTCTCTCTCTCTCATGCCTGCAGCCGGTGGGTGGTGTGGGATGTTCGGCTCTCACTGAATCCGTCCCGGAGTTGCCCCCCGCTGCACATCCCAGCCTAGAAATGGGGGCCTTGATCACTCTCTATTACGATGGGCCAGCTGCCCAGGCCACGAACACGGTCAGGGCAGGAACCGTACGTAGCACGCCGACTCCCTTGACCACCAGGCCAGGCCACCCACTGGATCAACTGCTGTTAAAACAAACAGGGCCCCTCTGACCTCAGTAGAGGGCCAATGCTGTCAAGGGGACGTGTCCACGCATTACCTGGCTATGCTATCCGTGGCTCCCGGTGTCGTGGGTGTGGACACTCCTGGCGCAAACCATACATGCGTGGCAGGCCTCTATCGGGACATTCCGGGCCAAAGGCAGGCCCGTTGTTCGACTGCGTCCCACAGAGCGTTCACACCTGCATGCTGTAGGCGGGGGTGCGACCAAGCCGCTAGGCCGGCGGGAGGGGCCTCTCAAAGCACTGCAGCCTAGCCAAAGGGTCTGCCTCGTCACCCCCTGGGCTAGTCAGGGGAGCAGGGCTGGTAGCATGCCTTGCAGCCGTTTGTTCTTGGTGGCCAAGCTCCTAGAGCTCCTGCCACACACACAACTGGCAGCGCGCACTACTGCGGGGATGCTTCACTTGCCTTCCATTCAGCTCAGCCCACCGGCTATTTTGTCTCGCACTGGTTTCAAACCAAACCCAGTCTGTCTCTGGCTCCTCAGTCACCACCGTCCACACAGGCAGTTGTCCACAGCTGGGGTTATCAGTACACTGGACAGTACAGGTGCCTTACCTCCAAGGTCTGGGCTTGTTTCTGGTTCACCTACGTAAGTAATAGGCCTTGGCACCTCCTGAAGCCTCTTGTCTCTGCTGCCTCTCTTTTGGTCTCTGCTGAGTCCTGGCACACTTGGGCACCGTCTAGCCCATCTGAGTCACAAGGTTATGCAGGACACGTAGCACAGAGGGGTCTTGCCCCTGTTGGCTCCCAGCACCCCTAAGTCTCATAGGCTTGACACAAAGTGGCCTTAAACTGTTCTCCTAAGTCCTCCAACTCCGCTTGATAGGCAGAACGTGGCGGACTTGGTTACCCAAGCTGGCCCTGCTGCACCTTCCGCATCACCCCTGGCTGGGCTTGCAGGTGCTAATCTCCCTACTCCTTGGACTCCATCAGCACATGGGGGAGGCCAAAGAGTACTTCCAAGGTGCAGAGATCTTCCTCCAGCGACGTGCTCGGCTTCCAAGGTCTTCTCCGTATCTAGCAACTCCCTTGTTGGCAGTGTCGCTCACAAAGTCACATCAGTCTCTGCTCTCAGATCTGTAAGGAACACCTATCACCTGGCCCTAGCGGACCCTTGTGTGGCTCCTCAGGCCCCCTCTCGGTCCTGTCTGCACCGCTGCTGCCACCTTTCTTCTGGGCCATGGTCCAGTGCCTGGACTCTGCCTCTCTCATTCACAGTCTCCCCCACTGGGCTCCTGTTCACCTCAGGGCAACCACATGTCTTCTCTGTGCTTTCAGGGAAACCATTCACAGTATCCCAAATCTCCACAGGAGTCCATGCTAATAGGACCTTGGTGACCAAGAGCTACATGCTGCTTGGTAACCACAGGTCACCCCTGTTCACACCTCTAACCTGTGGAAGATCCTACCAACTATGTCAATTGTCAGGCGGAGGCTCAGACCCAGAAAACAGATTCAGGATCCCAGCAGGTGGAAGAAGTGCAAGACACAGTTGGGACAGTTGGTTTGCTGCATGCAGAGGCAGGATAGCCTTTAGCCAGCCCCCAGCTTTCCAGCCCCAGCCCCCAGCCAGTTCCCTTTAACCCCAAGCCATTTCCCAGCCAGTTCCCTTTAACCCCAAGCCATTTCCATAGGCCTTTTTTAACATGCAGGCCAAAGAAGGCACAGTGCCGACAGGTCACATAAGTGGACACATGCTCACCAGCAAATGTTTATGACCTTGAAGACGTACACTGAATCAGGTGTCCATGACCTTGCTTATCTACCAAAACATAGCCCACCAGAAGCCTATGCAAGGGACCTCACCACAGCCATTTTGAGCCTGCCCACCTCTGATTGCCACGTCTCTTCATTTTCCTTTAATCTAGAATGGTTCTTCAGCCTTCGTCTTTCAGGACACTGACATTTTTGAGGATTACAGGTCATTTCTTTCACTGAGTCACCCTCAGTTTGGTTGGTCTGATGTTCCTGGACACAGGCTGACAACTTCCAACTTTCAGCACAGTGCCAGCGGGAGGCACGTGATGCCTGTGGGTCCCCAGACCCCTTGTGGGGACAACACTTTTTCTCCTCCCTATAGAAGTATCTCCTTGTTCCTCTTTCAACAACGCTCCTTCCTCCTGCACCCAGTTTCTCATCCAGGCAGGACATTTCTTTACTCTCTCTCCCCCATTTTATTTCCTCAGAGTGAACTCAGGGAGGTGAGAGAAGAGCTCAAGGAAAAAATGGAAGAGATAAAACAGGTAACGGGGTAAATCTTTACATCATATGGAGGGAAAGCCTAGCTTCAAGGAAAATGTGATTCCTAACTTGGAATAGTGAAGGGAATCGGAAGTGCAGGAGAAGGCAATCACCAACTCCACCCTAATCCCTCTTAGTGCTAAGTGTTGGGCAGCTTAGGATACTCATTTCTAATTTGTCTGATGCCTGGACCCAATTTTCTAGTGGCTGAGGACTCCCTAAGGTGTTACAGTTGGGATGATGGAACCTCAGGGATAAAGCTGAGTGGAAGGGGCTGACTTGGAATTTGGGGGCAGCCAGAGACCAGCTGCAACTCCTTATTCACCTTACCTGAGCCAGCTGCAGGGAAGAAGAGTTTCTATAACAAGAGTTTCTATAATACAGCCACCAATAGCCTACTTAGGGAATAATCAAGAAAGGAAGGACTGAAATTGTGACCTGAACTCCACATGTAAGACTGGCATTGGCCAGACCTAAGCCACACTGTGGCTGACAGTGGGGACGACTTGATGGCATGTACACCCTAGACCCTTCATAGATTCCTTGGGAAGAATGTGGCTTTAATAGGACATTGTTAGTCCATTCCCAAGGTGCAGCTGCTGCCTTTTGCTTAAAAATACCCCAAAGACACAACTGACTTCCACAATATTCTCTGTGCTTGGTCAAATCATGCTTTTCTTCCTCATTAGATAAAAGATGTAATGGACAAAGATTTTGATAAACTTCATGAATTCGTGGAAATCATGAAGGTAAGATTTACTGAGTGCCTTCCATGGGCCAGTACCACACTGCAAACTATGGAAAAGTATGCCTGACCCTGCCCTCCAGGCACTTACACACTGGTAGGCCGCCCATACTCTATGGTAAGAAAGAATTACAAGCTAAATTGCTGGCTTGTGAGTTAATTATCAATTTACAGGTGTGAATAATGAGGTTGGGCTGGAACAACGAGAGAAATCCTTATGGAGAGAGTGAACCTTGTTGAGTCTTGAAGACCATGTCGGAAACTTAATGCAAATCTAGTTGAAAGCCCTGATAAGATTTAAAAAAAAAAAAAAAACTTCTGGGAGGATAATCTAGATTCTAGAACATGGTTCACAAACCATGCTTCGGAATCACCCAGAACACTAACAAAGGGCAATCCAAGGCCCGTGTTCAGATGGAGCATAGGCTGTTGTGTTTTGGCCAAGTTCCCCAGGAGAAAGCTTGAGAACCACTGATGTAGAAGTATAAATAGGCAAAAGCAAATAGCTCCAGTTGTTTCCAGAGTTCTAAGGGGGCACTAGCCTTACTAGATAATTAAAATTCAAGATAAAACAACAGTTATCAAATCAGGTGGTGTAGCCCAAGGATAACCCGACAAATGAAGAAACTGGGATAGTAACACTGTCAGTGGCCTCTCTGCCAGGGATGGACTAAGAAACCTTTCTGAGCATTTTTTTTTTTTTAATCCATGTGCTCAAGCTCCAGCCTACACACACTGAATAAAATCTCCAGAATTAAACAGAGGGGTCTCAGACTCCATAAGTGATTCTGATATTTGCTCTTGGCTGAGAACCAGGTTCCAAACTCTTCAGCAGCAGGGTCAACCCTGGCTGCAGGTTAGAATCAGCTGGCAGTGATTTGGTCTTCTCCCCACTTTACACCCAGGTGGACCCCATAACAATTAACCTTTGGGATGAGGTATAAGCTCCAAGAGGCTTTTTAAATTTGCAGGTGATTTCAATGTTCACTCAAGGCTGAGAACTATGGTTCTATTAAATTTAAAATATGATAAAGGTGATTTTAAATTGTCAGTGAGAAAAGAATTGGGTGATAATATTTATAGGTGTTTTGACTGTATAAGAAGAAAAATTAATTAAGTACTATAAAGTGAAATAGTCTATAAAGCGAGTTTAATAATAAAAGCCAATAAGAGGAAGCTGTAAGTAATATTTACCTAGATGGCTTAATATAAATACAATGGAAGAAATCACAAAGTCTTGACATATTTAAACATAAAAGTTTTCCTTAAGAGAATTATGACAGAAAAGTACCAGATAAAAAATTAAAAAGAAACAACAGTTTGGGGAAATAGTTTTCCACAAATATAAGTACAGACAAAAGAATTTTTATCTATAACATAAAGAACTCACACAAATCAATAAGAGCCAAATAGGAAAATGGGCAAGAGCACGGGCAGACAACCCACAGAAAATGTGGATAATCAAGCAGCAGTAGGTCTATCGAAAAGCTTTACCCCTTAGACAGTAAAGGCATGCGAGCAAAATAATTGACAATTACATTCAAATGAACATTTTTTTTAATGCATGACAAGGAGAGAATAAGAAAGAAATGTTCTTACACTGCAAATTTGTACAAACTGGAATGTTTATAACAGAGTAGGCATCAAAATAATAAATAAATGAAAACTTTTCAATTTAATTCTGCTTCTCAGATTTAACTTGTGAGAATAATCAGAAACGGTGGCATAAATCTATATAATAAATGTTCATTGCAGGATCATTTATAACAACAAAACTTTGGGAACAAGCACAATTTTCAACAATTGAGGAAAAGCCAAATAAATTATGGTATATCCATGAAATAAAAATTAGGAACTATTAAGGACAATGTTTAGAAAGAATTCTTATAATGAGAACAACAAAGCAAGATAAAAGTAAGGTAGTATACAGGTTGCTTCCAATTAGGGGAAAAAATTAAGTAAATATACAAAACAAGGGTTAGAACTGGGTGCAGCAGACACACCTGTAATCCCAGGGACTCTGGAGGCTGAGGCAGGAGGATCTCAAGTTTGAGGGCAGCCTTGGCAATTTAGCAAGACCCTCTCTCAAAATTTTAAAAAGGGACTGGGAATGAAGCTCGGTGGTAGAGCAGTCCTGGGTTCAACCCTCACTATCCCCCCCTCAAAAAAAAGGCTGGAAATAAATATACTTAAAGGACTAATAGCAGTTATTTTGGGGATGAGAAGATTGATTTTTAATATGACTTTGTACCACCCACACTTTCTCAAAGGTGGTGCATTATTTCTATATTAAAATACAAACACTGTAGTTTTGTTGGTGAGTGGAGCTTGGGCTGGAAAGGCACAGCGGAGGCTATTTCAGGCAGAAGTCAGCTTGAACACAGCAGGAAGCAGGCAGGACGTTCTGGTTTGTGGTCAGTGGGGAGCTCAGCCTTGAAGAGGGATCATTTGGGGGAAATGTGAGAAATAGAACTGCATGGCACAAAGGAGCTGGGCAGTGCCAGCTTTGCAAATCAGCAGACGAGCTGGGCCTTGGTTCTGCAGGTAGTGAGAGGCCTCCAGGGATCCCTGATCACAGAACATGCTGGGAGCAGCTGCTGGCAAGGTGGCCTGGGCAGGGTGGGAGCAGGTGCAACTGTCTGACAGCAAGGGCACAGGCGGGGAGCTGCCTCTGCCACAAGGTGAAGAGAGGTGACTACCTTTAATTTTAGGAAGAGATTGAAAAGGGTAAATCTGAAAGATGCATTAAAAGAAATAACGGCCCACAGTGACAGACTCAAAATAAAGAATGAAGTCTCACGAGGCAAGTGTCCATGGTGACACTGAAGTTTGAATCTGGATAAGGAAGTGTTAACAATGACAAGGATAATTAAGAAGTAGAGCTAATTTCAAAGGGAAAAGGAGATCCGGTTGGAATATGATGACTTCAAAGCGACAAGTTCCTAAGTATATGGGAAGTTTTGACTTTGACATTTTGAACCTGTGGGGTATTCTTGTCTTCAAGGAGAGTTTCACACTATAGATTCTAACATTTGATTCAAAATTTATACTACTACTTAAAAATGCTTTTCAAGAGGCGTTTTCTGAAATTGTTTCCCCCCAACAGTATAATTTTCTACGTCAAATTAAACTGTTTCCAAATCTTTTTTTTCTTTTTACTAAAATTACTTTCGTTGGAGTCAATTATTTTCATTTATATTTTATGATGGTCAATTCAAATCTGTTTTTGTCCACAACAAATATCATCAATTATAGTTTCGGCCGCCTTATAATTTCTTTCATGTCCACTATTTCTGTCCAATTTTCCCAGGTCGAGTTTTGCAGATCTAAACTCTACTAAGAAATTTGTTTCATTCTTTCATTTCTTGATGACCAATAAGTGTGCCACACCATTTCAGCTACCATCAGTTTTATTTTCGGTTAGCCATTTCTGCCAGGATTGGGTAAAAACACAGGCAAGGGTCAAAACACTGGAGTCAAGTGTCTCTGGTGTCACAGGATTTGTTCTCTTGCTTCCATCATTTTATAGGCATCAAACCAAATCAACTGTGGGTTTTATACCTTGGACAGGTCAATCAGTTACCTGGAGACTTTGGTCAGCCCCTAAGGCTCTGCCTGGGGCCTGGGTCTCATCGTGGAGTGGTGGGGGCGGCCGGTGTGGGTGTGGTCGTGGACACCCCACCGAACCCTGGGCCAGATCTAGTGAGGATTCTTGAGGACGCCCAGCGGTTTGCAGAGAGGAGGGTGGAAGGACCGGACCTCAAAGGTCTTCAGAAGGAAGATTCTAGTCTTGAATTCTCTCTTGAAGGAAATGCAGAAGGATATGGACGAGAAGATGGAGGTTTTAATAAATATACAGAAGAACAAGAAGCTGTAAGTGTAGCCCACCCCCGTCTCCCCCCCCCCCAGCTCTCCTCCCCCGGCTGTGCGGAAGGCGCTGGCGGTGCCGAGGACCAGGACTCCTCCCGGGGTTGTCGTGGCTCCTGCCGCCGCGGCTCGGAGTCAGGGCCTCCCAGGCCACCTGTGTGCTGGTAGAAAGTGTCTCCCCAACTCTCCGCCCCTCCCTGACCCCCACCCCAGTCCCCTGCGAAGAGGATGGATGGAGCACGAGGAACTGGCGGGCAAGAGCGAAGCGGACCCTCGGCTCAGGCTCAGGAAGATGGACGCAGCTGGCGCAGCGGCCTTGTCTCTCCACAAGAACACGGTGGTGTCACCCAAACCCAAACGGGAGCTGCCGGACTCCCTTCCTCAGTGTAGGAGCTGCTGCGTAAGTGGAGCCTGCCCGCTGCTCTGGCCCCCGGGGCCGCCGCCGCCCGACCTGCCTGGCCTTGGAGGCCCGAGGCGCTTCCCGAGCCAGGACCCTGTAGGGCTTGACCCCCGACGTACCTGCTCCACCGCGTCATTCTGTCCTCTCCTATAGCAAGGCCCGATGAGGTGCCCAGCAGGCGGGCCATCTTGGAGCAGGGAAAAAGGACCTTTCTTGTGCCGTTTCTGTCCTCCGCAGGAGAAATGTTTGTTGTGTGCCCTAAAGACCAACTACAATCAGGGGTAGGTAGACCCGAACAGGAGGCCTTCTCTCAGCGGGTTATCCCCGAGGGAGCTGCTCCAGCTGCCTGGCATCGACCCCGCCCCACGGTCGTGCAGGGAGTAGGGACGTGAGCCGCCCCGCGCGGCCACTCAGTTGTAGAGGACGTGGCACCAGGAAGGAGGACGTGGGTGGCCACGCCTAAGGCTGCTGCCCAGAGGCTCCGTGGTGGGAGGGCGCCCCCCAGCGGCCCGCCTGACCCCGCCTCAGGGTCCCGCCTTTCTTTCCAACCAGCGGGAAACTTCCATGCCAGGCCTGGGAACCCTTTTCATCCTTGGCATCTGGAGCTGCTGTCTAATTTATCTTTACCTCCGCTGTGATGAGATGGAGTACGTGCTTCCCACCTAGCCAGCAGCCCCGGACCATCCTCGAGCTGTGCAGCCAGGGCTTGTTGCCCTCTTAAACCAGCACCGGTGCCCAGGCCTCCACTAGGAGATTAAAAAAATCTTCCTTTAAAGCCCAAACAGGCGTCACCGTCTTGAATATGAGCGTGCAGAGCGTCGCGTTTGTGTTTGGTTGTTCCAGATACAGCCCGATTCAGACTCCAAGTCCGTGAAGTCCGTCGTTAGCCCAGGGTTTTCTCCCTCCATTCCCCCACTGCCTCCCTTCGTTCCACCTGGTTCTACAAAGGTCCCAGGTAAAGCACCGGGAAGTCCCTAAGATATCATGAGCTGGTCTGTTGTGAGCCCAGGAGAGACCCCCAATGCCCTGAAACAGTGCCTACATCCCTTGGCTCAGGGCCTCCTCCCAGCCTTAAAGCCAGCAATAACGGGATGGTCTTTCTCATGCTGCCCCACGCTGACACCTCTATCTCCTGCTTTCACTTTAAAGGACCTTTGATGACACTGAATCCCTCTGGATAATCCAGCATGTTCTCCTTATTTTAAGGTTAGCTGATTCGCAACCTAAAGACCTCTTTGCCATATAACATAACATTTACAGGTTCAGGGAATTAAAACACAGATATCTTTGGGGGGGGGATGATATTCTGCCTACCACAGGGGTCTTCCCAGATCTTGGTCTCTTGCCATACGACCAGATCTGCAAACATTTGAGAATGTAGCACTGTTCTGTGGGGTGGTGGTTTTAAAATAGGCCCACAAACTCTGATATGCCTTTGATATATATGCCTTTGATTCCTCTTTGCTTCAAGAGGAATCTAGTAATGCAGAGAACACTGTGGAAGTGTGATATAGGTTACTTCTGAGATTAAGTCATAAGACAGAGTGGGTTCCATCTTGCTCTCTCCTGTACACTCATTCTGATTGAAACCAGCTGCCTGTGCTGTGAGGATACCCCAGCAGTCCTATGAAGAAGCTCACTCAGCAAGGAACTGCCTGCTGCCAAGAACGTTTGAGTGTGCCATATTGGAAGTGGACCTTCCAGCCTTGAGAGCACTACCTCCCTGGCTCACATCTTCACTGCAACCTCATGAGATGACCCTGAGCCAGAACCACTCAGTTAAACTTCTCCCAGATTCCAGTAGAAACCACGAACTAGTAAAATCTTATTGTTTTAAGATGCTAAGTTTTGAGGTCATTTATTGCACAGTGACAGATAATACATATACAGATCTTCTGTTCATTTTTCCACTTAAAAGACTTCAAAAATCAAGACATAGAATAAAAAAAAATTTAAAGTAAAAAAAAAGTATATGGTTACACATACACATGTACAACTTGATGAGTTTTTTTATATATATATGTGTACATCACTGAAATTGTTCTAGATCATTTCTAGGAGCTCTTCCCCATCTGTGCCCACTCCCCAACCAGGTTACCACAGTTCTGATCTTTAGCACTATGTATTATTTTGTCTATCCTTGAATTTGACATAATTAGAATCATACATGATGTATTCTTTGGCTCAAAATTATGTCTCTGAAATGTATTCTATTCATGTGTTTAATTGTGTGTATAACAATGGTTTACCATTTGGTATGTTTTATGAATATACCACAATTTATTTCTCTATTTTCCTATCAGTGGGGCCAGAATATTTTAAAGAATAATCTAAGTGTAATCAGTTTTCCCAGTTGCCCTCTATGCATCTGCCCTGTCTTTTAAGCATCATTCCTGGTTCCCAGGTTTCTTTGTGTTCCTTCACTGGGGAGCACATAAAAGGCTGACTCTGTCTCACCATCCCTCCCTCTTGCTTGGTCCTGTGCACCTGGCTTCTGCCGTGCTTTTCTGAAATTGCTCCCAGAAAAGAAGCTAATCACTCCTTTGATTCTATTGACCCTTCTCTGGTTCTCATTCTTCTGATGTGTGTTCCTGCCTTTGACCTTAGTGCTTAATTCCTTTTGTACATCTCTTGGTTATTATTCCTACGCTGGCTCAGTCGGTTTGGGCTGCTCCACAGAATAAACAACAGAAATCTATTCCTCACATTTCTGCCTCCCGAAAAGGATAAGGTTCGGCACCCACAGAATCAGCACCTGATGAGGGCAACTTCCTGGTTCATAGATGGTGCTTTCTTGATGTGTCCTCATGTGGTGGAAGGGACAAGGGGGCTCTCAGATCTCTTTCATAAGGGCACTGATTGCCCTTGTGATGGCACTGACCTTGAGATCTAATCACCTCCCAAAGGGCCCCTATCCTACTTTGGGGGACGTTTTCAACACTGGCATTTTGGAGACACCAAATCACTGAGACCATAGCATCTGCCTTCATCTTCAACAGGGACAACCTCCATATCCATTTACTCTTTTCTCCTTCCTGGAGACTGAGGACAGACATCAAGTCTGACTTGTTCATTGTCGCAGCCACAAGTCATCACAGCGTTAGCTCAGTGAGTGAACCTGGGGCGCTCAATCAGCGTCACCCTCCAGGGTCAGAAGATCAAATCCAAATTAACACAGGCCTTCCTGAAAGAAATCAAATTGGTTCTGGTCTAGAGCCTAGACTAATTAATTAATGGGGGAAAGAAAAATGGACTGGAACAAAAGAGAAAACCCATATGACTCTAAAACCCAACCCTGGTCCTGTCCTTCAGGAAAAATGCCTCCCCCACCTTAATTGGGCATCCATAATCATAACTTGATTAGTTATAAAGTGACTCTCCAATCCCTTTTCTCATTAGCATTCCTCTGCCAGCTTATTATTCCTACCAAATAAGCTGGATGAGACGAGAATGCAAATCTGTTTGAGTCAAACCAATGTCAACTTTGCTCTAAAGAAGAATGAATTTGAACAGTGGTCTCAAGTCACAGTGTCTGACAGGTGACCCCAAGCCTTGGACTGAAGCCCTGAACTCTCGCCTGAGCTTAGAGTTGCCTGTCTCTGGGGCCTCACGGTCCTGTCAAACTCAACTCAGCCAAAAATAAACTCCCCCCTGGGCCCCGACATCTCTTCTCTGCCTGATGTCCTGACAGGAGGTCCTTGTCCCGGCTCAGTTTCCTGACAGCCCGAGCACACGGTGGCTCCCTAGCCTAAGGCTGGCCCTCAGTCCCCCCAGGGCTTTCTGCAGCCCACCTGTCTAGCCTGGACAAGACACTTGAAGCACACTCATGCTCATAGCCCCTGCCCCAAGCAGCCAGGCCTCTCCCAGAGCTCTTAGGGTTGTTTTGAGGATTCCTGAGGCTGTGGGTAAAGTACCTGTTACAGGCTGGCAATGAAATGTTCTTTTCTCATCTCCTCCGTGATATCTCTATGATGACTCTTGGGGCCTTTTCTGGAAGAGCTAAAGGTGAGAGAAGAGGACGTGCCTTCCCCAAGGACAGAGACTGCATGGAATTCACTGATCACCTTCTCCTTCTGCCTCCTGGTGGATGTGTTGATCTGTGGATGTGGAAAACATTCCCTCTCTCTGACATTGATTCCACTTAATCATTCAAGCTTGATATTTTCCTTCTCCTTCCCACAGCAAATGAGCTACCAAGTCCCATGGACTCTCTGTGATATTTCAAATGTCTATTCCCAAGTCCTCCCACCTTAATCCAAGCTCTAGGCATTTGGATCTTGAATTACGGCCAAGGCTTCCAACCGGTTCCTCTCAACTCCACTAGTTCCTGCTCACCCCCTGGAATCCATGGGCACACCCCTTCCAGATATTTCCTCCCTACCCACTGCGTTCCTCTCCAACTCCCCCCTTGTCCATTACTTATGGGGTCACACTCATTCTCCTTAACCCGCCATTCGAGACCTCGCATTTCTGATCTGCCAATTCTGAACTCCTCTGTCTCGTTCCCACCTGTGAACCCCGCTCCAGGGGCCCAAACGTGTCCTTTGCCTTCCCACCTCCTTGTCTTTGCTCGCCTCCTTCTTTCGCCCCAAGAGCCCTGCTGGATGGCCCTCTGTCTCCACACAGCTCCTCGGAGACTGGGACTAGGTCACTTGGCCCTTTAGACGTTTCCCACCTTCTTACTCCCAGCCCATATAGTCCCTCCTGTCCAGGCAGACGGGCAGTCTCCAAGGCAGGGCTGAGTCTCGTCCTCCTCTTTCCTGGCATGGAGGTCAGAACTCTGGACTTGGCAGGTGCTCAAGAAGTGCCGTCTGCCCCACTTTTGCCTGGCCTGTGGGATTCATGTGTTGGTTCTCTTGACTCCTTCCTGCACTCCCAGGACCTGTGACCTTGGCAACGTGGATATACCTGAAAGATGGTCAGCAGGGGGCTTCTCCTGCCCAGATCCTACTGGGCAGGCCTTGGGAGAGGCCCCGAGAAAACTCCCCAGACTCTCCAGGTCTCCACCCTGTTCCCATCTGGAAAGACACACATGTGACCTTGTCCTGTGTCAGGCTGGCTGATGGGGTGAGATGGGGTGAGGCTGCTCCCATCTAAGCACATGCGAGTTTTAAGGACTAGAAAAGGTCATCAGGGAAGCAGCTGCCATGAGCAGCTGAGGTGGCGCTTCTGTTGCAAACGCAGCTCTCCTAAAGTTCTGAGAATGCGCTGGGGCCTCTGCTCCCGCTGCACAGCCCCCTGACACCCAGCTCAGGGGC